AATTAAGTTCTTCGATCTTGTTATGGTAATCCATCGAATCAACATTTAATTTGGTTATTTCATCTTGAATCTTGGCCGTTTCAATAGCAAGCAGTACAATCTCATCTATACGTCTGTAACTCAAACCGATCTTGGAAGGGATCTCTAGAGTATCAAGCATGTAATTTAAACTACTCTGACGGCCTGGGAATTCGTGTTGAAATATTGTCATTGAGTCCCAGAATAGTGTTCCATCAAACTTGATATAAGTATATTCTATCGCATCTTCACCCTGGGCAAGTGTTATGTATTCATTTCGTAATACATTATATTTGAACATTTCCCCATAACTCATTTGTTTACCGGTGCTATCCTATAAAATTCTTCCATCATTGTACTACCAAGCCATTCCAACCTTCGCATGATGAATGGCGTATCAAATCCATTTGAATTATGGCCAATGATCACATGTGGTTTGATGTTATCCTGTATCTTTGCAAACACTCGATAGAAGTCATGTTCTTCCTGAACTTTTATCACGTGTATTGGAAACTTTATAATATTTCCCTATTATCAATAAACATACGAATTGCCTCATGTTCACCCTTGACCATTTCCTCGTAATTTTTCTCAGAAAATTTTACCATAGTCCTTATAGTCTCAGGGTCAACTTTTTGAAACTTTGTTATGTCGTTCACCATCTTCCATATTCTTTCTTTGATTTTCTCTTCCGATTCATATCGAAGTAGTGTATTGGTTCCGGTATCAAGCAGGCAAATCACTCCCAGTGGCACAGGATCATTACCTTGGGTAAAAACACTAACGTTCATGTATGCACGATCAAATGGGGTACTATCACGTCCAACCAATCTTTTTTTTTAATTTCATGATTGAAGTTTTGTAAAAACGTCGTTTCAAGATCAAATACATGTACTATCTCATTGCAAAAGAATTCATCATTTAAAAATATAACATCTTTGTCATATTTAAGGCAGTTCTCATGTTCGTCTATTGAGAGTACACGTGTTTCATCCTTAAGTATAAAGAAACCTGAAACATGGAAATAGTCTTCTTTCCCATTCGTGTATATTCACTACGAGCGATAAATTGTCTATATTTACCACTAAGTGAGTCTTCGCAGATCATATATGACTTGAATTTATCCTGGTAAATGGCTTGGATAACGGATCTTCGCTTACTATGATCTGTGAATCTAATTCATAAATACTCTTTACCATCATTACGTTTAACTGTCAGGTAATCCTTTATTAAGCTGGTCATCTTTACCCATGCGCCATTAGGATGTCTAGCATTTGTGTACTCCATTGTTTTGATTAAAATATTACAATACTCTTTGGGATTTGGGTGATTGG